CGAAGAGAACAAAACGATAAGATCGATGTAACTAGATTATTTGGGCAGTCTTCTTCACATTGACATAAAGGTTCATTTTTCGATTCTGATGAGTATTTCCCAGTGAGAGTTTTTCAAAAATCAAAACTGTACCCCTAAGATTTTTATTTGAGGCAAATGTAGCATAGGACTGATGTCACTGCTATGCGATATAGACCTACACTTGTAATAAAAAATCGGTTATTTGCGTTTCGATTCCACATACACTGGATGTGGTGAGACAAATAAGTGCCCCTCGTGGTTTCTTCATCAGTTAATTGACGATATCTCGGAAACAGAACAAGTTAGAAGGTTTGAAGTTTCGTCAAAAGTTAAGCAACACTGTGTTCTGCTTTTGCCGATAAAAAGAAAGAAATTCCTCTAGGCTGCACATATGATAGTTGCGCACGCGACAAAAATGTATAGTTCTCGGGAGCCCTATTTCTTATCGAGTTTTCACCAGTTCAGAATAAGGTGCCACAAAAACTGATACCACCCGTATAAAATACTACAAAAAATGCAAAATAGGATTTGTTACGTTAGTAAGGTATTACTGGAAACATCATTTTCTGTTGTGTATGTATAATCTACTATTCTTCTGATAAACACAAAAAAAATTGATGATATATTCACTATACCTGAACGATAACGGTTTAACAAATGCGTTTAGTCGACGTTACAGACTTGCATCGACAAATATCTACAAAAATTTCGTTTACGTTTCGCTTAGTAGCACTCGAGACACTTTTTTGCTTTGAAGCAGTATAATAGATATCAGAATCACTCAGGTACAACAACTTCAACTTCGACAACATCCACAACTTCCACTACTTCGACATCGACGAGTACAACAACGAGTAGTACGAGTTCAACATCCACAACAACTACAAGCACGTCCAGCATAACAAGCACATCGACCACTAGTACAACGAGTAAGTTATTTTTTTCGAATTTTTATAAGGTGGAACAAGCAGTCCTCACTGTCTATCACACCTATAGTGGAACACATGTTCTCTCGTATGACAAGGAACAAATGCAAAAAAGCAATAACCAGATAATTAGAAAGCCGTTTTAAGCAGAAAATAATTTTTGTAGATCATTGCAGCATGTCTTCATCAATCGATGTTCCGATGTCTGACTAAATTTTTTATTGTAGTTAGTGGCGTGAGATGTTGCTCGTACTGAACGGATAAACTATGGCCGACTTATAGTCAATATATTAGAAATGGCTGGTTTTCGCACATCGACGATGGTGCTCATATTCTAAATTCTATAAGTCAGCCAGAATAAGTCAGAGAGTTTTTCATACTTTCCATAATTCCAGTCCTGATAGTAAAATTCGAATATGAAATAAAAAGTATATGTCAATTTTTCATTTGTGACTTGATGGACTGGCGAACCATCTCTTAAAAGCTGTTTATGCGTTAAATAAGTTGTTGGTACTTGGCTATCGGTTATCGATCATGGCGGATCTGATGAACATGTGTGGCACACGGCTGTGCTTATGAAATGCAAGTGCAAAAAAATTATTTTTGTTGTAGTAGGCGTTCCGGAAAACTCACTCAAAATCCATGAGAAATCTATTCTATCGACACGAAGGCATTAGAAAGTAGACACTTCATGGTGTGCAACCATGTACTTTTCTCAAAATCGATATTTGTGACGATAATCGCCCTTTCTGACCCGGGGGGCCTTGAGCGCTACGAACACGCATAGCAATGTTGGCGGTAAAAGTCAACTTTCGGTTTTTAGAATTCAGCATAGAAAAAAGCTAGAGACTTAGAACTTTAATCTTCGCTAGTTATCTTTGAGTAGTATAGATCGGTAAAAGCAAGAGCCATAACAAATTTTGTACTTTAAGGAACAGAAAGATATAATGAGAATTTATTCTTTGTTTCGTCTGCTTCGAGAAAAAGATTAAGCCAGCTATATGTGCGATCAATGCATGACAAATTTGCTCTATGCTAGACAACCATTCCGCGTAACGTGTCTGTGGATTACTTTTTGCTCTTTTTGTCGATCTTATAATATTTGAATGAGAGAACGTGGAGAGTTGAGAGATGTCTTATTATGTAGCTAAGAATGTGCTCGTTAAAACCAATTTTCAAACAATTTTCAGTGAAATGAGGCTATTAGAAATTTGATAGTATCAAAAAGATAGCTCAATATTTTACACCAAGTTTCGTATGGATCTTGACGAGCACACTTTTAGCTACAAAATAAGATATCTTCCAGCTTTTCACAATGATTTTTATAAATTCTATAAATGGAAGAAAATGACAAAAACGGTAACGCACAGACATTTGGTTGACCGTTACGCGGAATGTCTGCAGAGCTTTCGAGGAAAAGCTTTTTAGTTGTTGAGGATAGAACGCTGGCTGAAATAATATTGATTTATAAAGTACAAGTGTTGGACTACTCGAATTCATGTCATAGATTCACGCAGCTCACTTACTTCAGATACAGGAAGGTTCACAAGTTGGCCTACAACGAAATAGGTCTTAAGTTACAAATTGATCTTTGGGTCTGATAACCCTTTAAGTCTACAAACTCTTGGTTTAATTTTTTTATTAGATACACCAGAGAAGCATCGATGCAACCTCACATTAGGTGACTACGTGAGCGCCATTAAGTGCTGCTGTTCAAGATCATTCTATCTTTTTGTTCTTTTTTGCAGTATTTTCTTGCTGATTATCTTTAATTTTATGTTAAGAATGAGACATGGAATTACAATTTTAAAATTATATGGAATGTAAACACTATTCACTGCGCTAAGAAACAAGTCTTTCTTCTATGAAAAGGAAAACAGCAATTCTAAAAGCTCTAAAGAAAGCAAGTGTCCGTGAGAAAATCGAACATACGTCGAGGATTGCCCAATATAGTCAAATTTTCATTCTTTCTTTTCAACCGAATTCAATTCGCCATGCAGAATTACCTATAAACTGGTATTTGTAGACCTTCGGAACTGAAAGCGACGGACTTAGGAGTTTTATAGGAAAAGGACGAGAAAAATGAACTGTTCTTTTATCGGAAAAAGGACGCGGACAATATGTCCAATCACGAGGTGCACTTGCAAGAACTACAGATATTTATTATTTTTGACCGTTACAATGAATAGAATTTTCTATCGTCGTGTGCCATTTTACAACAGTGTCAATGAAACATAATAAATATCTCAAGTTCTACATAAGCGATTCACTTGAAACTTTTGACATAAATAGACCACTAGTTAGGCTATCTGAGAAAGAATTTCATCGTCCAACTCGTTATGAGGATCGAGAAAAGCATTTCTGAAGAAGTCGCATTTTTTCGACATAAAGTCGATCATGTCGAACACAAAAGCCCATGAACACGAAACTCTTTTAGGCTATTTTTAGTTTCATTAAGATCTACACCCACTGATAATACAAAGTCATGACTCGTGAGGCAGTGGTTTCCCTTATCAGCGTTTTTAAACATGTCTACATGCCAATCGGTTTAAAAGAAAAATCTCAGTTCTTCACTATCAAAAATTTGAATGATCTGTGCGACTTAAAATGTTAAAAAAGAGAACAGAGAATATTATCAAAATAGAAATTGGATTTTTCTAGTTTTGAAAAATTGAAATTTTCGGAAATTTTTCATGGAGCTTTTCGTATAAAAATCATAGCTCGGTCATTTTCAGTTCCGAAAGTCTAAAAATATGAATTTATAGGTTGACAGAGAGAAAGAGAGAGAGAGACTAGGATGGAGCACAAGAACAGCAAAACACAAAACAAAATTACACAGTTGTTGGAATCGAACACTAAAACTATGACTTTTAAAGCATAAATTTTACTTTGGACTAAATTATCCAAAAGTAAACCTGAGATGTTCGATTCCTCTTCCTGTGCACTGCTATAGTGTGTTCTACCTCTACTGCTCAACCCTATCAGCTTATAACCTTGGGCTTCAGACCCGGTCTCCCATTGTTGTACTAACCAAAGCCTCCATACTTTGTGATGAGTCAGATGGCAAAGTAGATATTATAGAGTAGAGACATATGGGGTAAAGAGAGAGAGCTAAGCTAACCAAATGGGCTCATGCGCCAAAAGTATAGCCTGGAAAATTAATCTTCGAATTTTTCTCAAATCCAGTTGGATATGGACCTCTTTAATCAATCATAATATATCTTTTTAGGATTCGGTAAACGTTTAGAAAAGAAGTTTTACAAAATCTTACGGAGTGGATAACCCTCATATGTGTACCCTTTATGGCGCATCAGGCTCATGTGATTGACTGAATTTCGCAAAAGCTATTTTGGAGAAGGAAATTTTTTTCTTGGATGCCACAGTAAACTACTGCTGTAGCGAAACGAACGAAAAAGCACTAAGGTGCAGCTTCAGCTAAATCAGACTTCGAGTAACATTTATTTTTGAGATATTAATACTTGGTTGGACAGAGCATATTGAGCTGGTGAGAACAAGTGATTTTTAATTTTTCTAAAACCCTTCTTACGGAAGAAAGATTGAAAAAATTCGAAGGACCTCAACTCTTGAAAAACCCTTCAGTTTCAAACAATTCAAATATTTTTCGTTTTCGTTCTTCTGACAATTTAAAAGCGCTTTTCCCACATTCAGCATCAAAAACTGAGTCGTATGAGGTTCATCACTCCCATAATCGAATCGATAAATTCGGCTTTTTTCGAATTTCTCCATTGGATACAGAACCCAGACTTTCGTCGAAAAACGAACACCATCCAATAATTCCTATACAGATCTCGTTCTACTCAGTCTTTGATACTACTATCCATTTTAAAATAAAAGGCACTTGGCCGCATTCTTAATAACTTTTTCCAGGAACATGATTAGAAGTTAGAATACTTATACTTGACGCAACGCTTTCTTCTTAAGGCCACTGGAACTCTACCACAAAAATGTTAGCAATACATAATGAATTCACGGCAACGCTGTTAAGTTCGGGCAAAGTTCTTGCTGCTGGTGGTCGACTAAGTTCCACTTCTATTGCTACCTGTGAAATACATGATCCATCAACAGGCCAATGGAACTCCACTGCAAGCATGGCAACAGCACGTGCGGCTCATACTGCAACCCTGTTAAGTACGGGCAAAGTTCTCGTCACTGGTGGTATCGGCAGTGGTGGTATCCCATCCAATGATCTTGCTAGTTGTGAAATATTTGATCCATCAACAGGCCAATGGAAGTCTACTGGAAGCATGGCAGCAGCTCGTTCGTCTCATACGGCAACCCTGTTAAGTACGGGGAAAGTTCTTGTCACTGGTGGTCTACAATTTTTGACTGCACTTACTAGTTGTGAAATATTTGATCCATCAACAGGGCAATGGAAGTCTACTGCAAGCATGGCAATAGCACGTGCGGCTCATACTGCAACCCTGTTAAGTTCGGGCAAAGTTCTCGTCACTGGTGGTATCGATCTTGCTAGTTGTGAAATATTTGATCCATCAACAGACCAATGGAACTCCACTGCAAGCATGGCAACAGTACGTTTCGATCATACTGCAACCCTGTTCAGTTCGGGCAAAGTTCTTGTCACTGGTGGTGGACTAATTTCCACTTCTGTTGCTACTTGTGAAATATTTGATCCATCAACAGACCAATGGAACTCCACTGCAAGCATGGCAACAGCACGTGCGTATCACACTGCAACCCTGTTCAGTTCGGACAAAGTTCTTGTCACTGGTGGTGCACAATCTTCCACTTCTGTTGCTACTTGTGAAATATTTGATCCATCAACAGGCCAATGGAACTCCACCGCAAGCATGGCAACAGCACGTTATCACCACACTGCAACCTTGTTCAGTTCGGGCCAAGTTCTTGCCGCTGGTGGTCAAAGTCAGTCCACTGAACTTGCTAGTTGTGAAATTTACACTCCATGAACCTACTACAGTTTATCTTATAAGTGTTGTGATGTTCTCGCTAGGGTTTGCTAGTTAATGTTCACAAAGCTCTTTGCATGATTTTCCACTGTTGTGCTTAGTTTTGTTTAAATATATTTTTACGAAATATTATTGAAGGATTAAAGCTATTCCTGTCTGTTTCGAGTGCGAGGATTGAGAATAGGTAAGGGTACCTTCCGACAGCCTCGAAAAGGATTGAAAGCTTAGGTTATCGTGAACGCTGAGTCTTGCGGCAACCTCTCTTTTTCAGAACAAACTCTATATTAGATGAAAAAAGGCATGTTCGACTGTTTTCATGGAAAGTCAAAAGTTACTTAGTCAAAAGTTGTACTTAGGTCGATAGATAGATAAGATAAGATAAGATTTTATTTACTCAAGAGAGCAGGATATCACAAAAAAGAACAAAGAGACTTGTGGCATCCGTGGATACCCTGTGATCGATGATACTAAACAATACTTTGGAATAGTAAGAAAAGAAACCATGATATTGCTAGGTTTATTTCTGGCGAATCAGGCTGACCTTCTATTGATTGTCGGAAAATCTATGTTGGAAAAATAAATTTGTTTCTGGAATGCTACAATAAATTACCATTATGTTTAGTTAGCTAGTAATCAAACGCTAACGAAATGAACGAAAAAGGACTAGGGTGGCGTTAATTCAAAGTTCGAGCGAGGTTCTTCGCTGTTCAAATTTGTCCATTGAAAACAACCGAGACTTTCAGCGAAAACCGAAAACTGTATAGAAATACCCACACAGACCTTATTTGATTCAGTTTTTGATGCTGATTCCGAACGGCACATTAGTTTGGCGAAAAATTGAAATTTGATGGTGAAAATCTCAAAATACAAGTATATTTGTATATTTTTCGTCATTGATTTAGAAAAAACGAGTTTTCTTCACAACGGAATAAATAAAAGTAAAAAGAGCTTTATATTTTTGAGGCTCGTTTACTGTCAGTTCAAGTAAAGTGAAAAAGTTTACTTTATCTTGTCCTAAAACAAACTGGATAGATTTGCAAAATTGCTCATGAACCTTTTGCAGAGGGAGTCCAAAACGTCGATACTGGATAGACCTCTGACTTCAACAGCGATCAAGGACTCAGGTTTTGATCCTGAATGTGAAAAACACACTATCAAAATGTTAGAGGAACAAAAAAGAAAAGAATCTGAATTTGTTTGAAACCAACGGGTTTTTCGAACTTTTAGGCCCTTTGAACTTTTTCAATTTTTCTTACTCAGTTCAACGTGCTTTATTAAACCATGTATAAATATGTCAAAAAGCAATTTTGCTCGAACTTTTGAATTAGCAACACCTTACATTTCCGACAAAATGAAACCAGGCTCTTTCCAGTAATCGAGCTTACTCAAAATACATGTTTTAAAAATTGTCAGATGAATAGATTTTAGTGCATCTCGAAGCATTCTGTACATTGCCCCAATCTTCTACGACTTGCGAGGACTAAATCATTGTCATGATCTCCCCATGTTAGATCATGGGATAATCGCCTAATAAAACAACAGAACTCTGTCGCTTGATGATTGTGCTGTTAATCGCGAAAGAAATATCGTCAGCTGTTGATGAATCTCGATTGAATAGTTTAATGACAGGAGATATTTTTTTGGCAATAAGTGATTAACAAAAATTTCGGGGGGGAGGGGCAGAAATACGTAACCGGACACAACAGTGAGCAGAATTCGAAAAGAAAGCTGACATAGAAGGCAGAGACGTAGTAAACATCTTCTAGATAGTCGACCAGTTCAACAGCAGACTCCTTCATAAAACGAACGTTAACTCCATCGGGTCCGCTGCCATAACTTTTCTTAAATAAAAACTAGATTGAATAATTTGTCCTTTCGTTCGTGATATTATTAGAATGCGTCACTGATGGAAATTTGTAGTTTTACTCAAAGAACAGTTTTAGGTGAAAAATATTTTGAAAAAAGTTGTTGAATAGGTTTGCTTTTGATGTATCGCCATTCGCACTCTTATCATCAAGCAAGACACTTGCTGGAAGATCGTTACCCTCGTCTCTAGCCTAATTGATTCCCTTCCAGAACATTTGAAATGATTTGAAGCCGCTCACTAAATTGCTAAAATATTTTTTCTTACACCGCCTCAACTCTTTTACTACTTTGTTACGAGCTACACGAAGATTTGGCGAAGTAAACAGGGAAAATTTTATTTATTCCTTGAAAATAATTTGTTACGTTGACAGCAAAGAACGTAATAGGATTTTCTTCTACAAGAAAATCACAGTTCTCGCTTCTTCCTATGTGTCAAGCGAACATGCTCATCAATAAACTGTTCGACTATTAGAGCGCTTAAATTCAGACACGACTAATACTCGTCAAGTAAAAATTCTCATGATTCTCAAAGCACATGTTGCTTCATCTTTGTTTATTCGAAGAGCAGTCGAACAGTAGCTTTTTACCTGTTAACGTTCGTCTTTGTCAATAAAATATATTTCAGTTCAGTTCAGTTTATCTCAAACATTGTTGTCCACAATAGCGTGTCGGTGTGCGATTATATAAAATTATATAATAAAAATAATGCTGGATCCGCCACTGCCTCACAACTATAGTGGAACACGTGTTCTCTCGTATGAGAAGGAACAAATGCTGGATAGCGGCAAAAAATGGATAGCGGCAATTACAAAGAAAGAAGATGAAAAAAATGAATTAGTGATATTTTCGTTAAGCCTCCCTCCCTTGGTATCTGAAACACTTCGCACCCCATGCGGGTCTGGTCTGAACGAAACTTTCAGGGAATGTTGTCAAACTTTTCGAGAATGTGCCACTTTTGACCCTCCAAACCGAATTCTGAAAAGAAAATTTCTTTTGATTTGTAGATAACACGTATAGCTAGGACTTGACAGAGTCCGATTTTTACATTATTCTTCTGTTTTTTATAAAAATGAGGATTTAGAAGAAGGCTTCCACGGATTTTTCGGATTATAAAGTTCTATCAAGCACCAGAAATCAGCAAGTGAGAAATACAAAAGTCAGGCTCTGTCAACTTCTAGCCATAGGTGCTTACTGCAAAATAAAAGAAGCCCAAGCTCTCTATCATTTACCTCGGAGGAGAATTCTTGCACGTTGTAGACGCTTACTTTTGGCTCCTGTTGTGATGCCCTCTCACAAACAGTTGCAAGTGGCGCCAAAAGATTTCTATACCACTGCTTGACATGGTCAACGTTCCCTGAAAGTTTGGTTCAGACCAGACCTGCCTGGGGTGCGACATGCTTCTGATACGAGGGGATGGGTGCTCAACGAAAATATCACGAGAAAGGACTGCTTGCTGATCTCTTCTACATATCGAGATATCGTAAACTCAAACTCATTCGACATGCAAAATGACCTAACTTTTCATGTTAGGTTTATCTACGACTACATCAATTTTAACCACGTCAAGAGTAACTCCAAGTAAGACTCAATGTTTCATAGCAGTTATGCGACATATGTCACTCTAATAACTCTGTCTGAAAGTGCTTTTTTAAAAAGACTAAAGGCTAGACACACTATTGGGAGCACTTATGTTCCCCGAAAACGCCATTTTTCATAACTTTTCGTATTTTTGATTTTCTCAAAAAGTATCAAATCCCTGTTCATGGTTCATGTCCTGTTTGACAGAGCAACGTCTTCTTTACAAAATCTCTGGATCTAATGGTATGTTCTATTATCAAATACTAAAAAATAAAAAATGGAAAAATTTCATACTTTTAGACTTTTTTTGTGTATTATGTTGCTCTAACCATCGTCTATCTAATAGTGTATAAAATAAACCAAAAATTTACTTGTAGAACATGGAAGACATCCTACTATCTTCTATGATTCATCTTTTTTTGATTTTTTTTCATTCTATATCAATTGCTTTTGATACAGCAACTTTGCTCGACACCAAGAATATTTAGTTTAAATATTCGTCTCAGTCGTCTCGGATTGCAAGATGCCGTACTTTGCTTTGTCGCTATTCAAGACTAAAATGTTTGTTCTCTACCCTACGGAAAACAGAAAAATTCGATTTCGCAAAATGGACATAAGACTTTCTATTCGCGTTCAACGACAAGCACTCCAGTCGGTAATATACGTATTAAACCAAGCCATTTCTTACGATCTTGAGGGTGTTTTGTATAATGCGTGCATCGAATTTCTCTAGAAATGACTGAAAAGTTCGAACTACATTCTGACAATTTTCACAGCTCTTCAACTGATAGCACAAGTCTTCGAGATAAAGACTGTTCTATATCAGAACACTTGAAATACAAGTAACGTTCCGATTAGCTCCACATGCTGAAACATTTTCTAGCAGTATATCTATTTTATA